CCCTAAACCCTAAACCGCAACCCGGATCTCAGACCCCGGGTTTCCTTTTTGGACTTCCGGCTTCGTAGTGTCAGTAGTACTAGATATAGTCTATATAGTGCTGGTTCGATTGAAGCCCACATGCAATCCTCCTTCCTCCTAATTCAACAACAACTAACTTTGCTCAACTTTGGTTTGAACCCCGGACTTTTTGGCCAGCAATTCTGGCAGATTCGGTGCTTGGCGGAAGTGATTACTGATTACTGCTGCGAGGGCCGACTCCCATTGATTTACATGGTCAAATCTCGAATGTGCACTCGATAGTTTAATCGGACTCGTGCATCAAAGGCCCGTTCTCATAGATCCACCTGGTATGGCTTCATTTGAACATCTTAGCCTGGGCATGGAAACCGTCCCTGGAAACAGCCCGAATAGGCCCGCGGTAGGAATGGCCAGTCCGAAACAATAAAGACGATTCACATGGACTGAGGCTGTATAGGGCCTTTTTTTAACCCCTTCAAGAAACCCTAAACCCTAGCAGTAACCCCTAGCGGAACCCTTGTAGTAACTCTCAAGGGGTCTCCGGTCAGTCCGAAACTCATAAGTCTTTGGCAGACCTTCCCCGCGGAGGCAAGAGGCCGAAGTCATCGCCAAGAATGCAAAAGAAACTTGGTTGTTATTTAAAGAGCCTCCTTGCGAAGAACTTATGACAATAGATTCAATAATCATATTCAGCAAAGCATCTTACGCTAAGCCCTGGGTTCGAAACCGTATGAACGAAAGTCCCTTATGAGCAAGAGCCCAGGAAGAGCATTTGGCAGATGAAGAGTTCGTGATTGCTCTCGTGAAGAAGAATGGCAACCTGTTGCGGTTTGCCAGTCTCAAGTTGCTTGTCCGTGTTTCAAGATGAGGGGTTTCCGAAAGTGTTCTTAAGATGAGAGGTTTCAAACATGGTCTTAAGACGAGGGGTTTTAAACAATCAGGGGCGCCGTGTTGGTGTCAACAATTCTGCTATGTACCGTACACTGGTTCCTTGTTTTATGAGACTCCCATGTAAATTACACCAGCTCAAAAACAAAAAACTTCCTCCCCCAAGCAAGGATCATGAAAGGGATGCTGATATCGACACCGTTGAAGGAAATGGTGCTTACTAAATCAGAAAACCCTAAAGCTTGAACCAAACCCTAAACCTCTAGACACCATAAACCATAAACCCTGAACCCTAAGACCCTGACTGCCGAGAGCGCCGCTGACCATTTACATGTTCGCTCGGAGGCTCCGACTGAGGCCCCCGCTGCGCGTCATGTCAGAGCGCTGAGGGAGGGTAACGCTTCGGGGTACCCCTCTTGCAATGTGTGTATGCGTGCTCTTTAACCTCCATTTACAAGGGCCGGCCTAAACAACTCGGGGGTAGATGTTTGCACATCGAGCGACCCTCACGAGCGCGAGGGGCAGGTTGTTTTTTGTTGGAAACCCTTGCTTCTCGACGAGCGGCCGGCACAGGCCGCGAGAACCCACAACACCAATCCATCTCAGCTGAGAAACATATAATACAACCGTGAAGAGAAGCAGAGAGTAAGAAAAAGCCCCCCCTTTGAGGGGGGGTGAACCCTAAACCCTAACTGAGAATTCTGAGAATAGTTGGGGTGGTTGGCCATTGGGGCAGGAGTGCATGCTGACGCAAGTGCACGATAAGTGGGTGCGCCCCTATTCCTATAAAGTGAAAGGCACACCGCGCGCCCACTGTTTTTTGTTTAGTTCTTTGTTTCCTTCTCGTTTCCCGTTCCTTCCCACTAGCTAGTGACAGAAAGAAGTGAGAGACAGAAGGAACGAACGGAACGGCTCGTTCATCATCGGTTAACCCTTGATTTGNNTTGTGGTTCGCCAAGGATAACAGGTTTCGGTAGTTGATTCGTGGTTACATTCGTTTCCCTCTTTCGTTCCTCTCTCGCTTCACTCATTCCCTTATAGGGGATTAGGTTGTGTTTAAAGTAAAGGAAAGAAGATAAGGAACGCATGCTTCTTTACCTTTAATTTAGCCACAGCCGCCAGACAGGATTTAACAGATAACGGTCTATAACCAAGAATCATTGAGTTCCTGTTGCCGTGGGTGATTCATTCCGTTCCTCCCCTTCGTTCCGTTCACTCCTTTCACCTTCACGACTCCTCATATCCTCACATCCTAAGAGCTGGAAGGTAATGGGAACGAAGTGAATGGAACAAAAGTGAAAGGAAATAGGAACGAAATGGAAAGTGTGGAAAGTTTTGGGGGCCATAATCAATGGCATTCGCCTGAACCAGGACAGCTTTGAGCAACAACCTGCGGGCTTATGAGTTTGCTGGTGGCGATGCGAAAACGCTTCAGCAGCTGGCAGCCACAGAGGCGGGTGGCCAACCCCCTAAACGATAGACCCTGAACCCCTAACCCGCTAAACGATAAACCCTGCAGCCAAACCCTCCATCCGCCCAAACCCTAGAATCCCAAGCCCTGAAAAGCCTGAAGCAGTTTAGGGTTTAGGATTGAGGGTCCAGGGTTTAGGGTTGAGGGTTGAGGGTTTAGGATTCAAGGCTTAGGATTGAGCATGTAGGATTGAGGGTGTAGGACTGAGGGTTTAGGGTTTCGTCCTCGAAGCACTCAGGTTTCGAAGAGCCTCGGGGTGGAGTCCGATGACCTTGCCCGCCACTTTTCCGAGATGTAATTTCGGGACCTGTTTGGGGTTTAGGGGTGTAGGGTCTAAGGGTTCAGGATTTTAGGGTGTAGGGTTTTGTGGTTTAGGGTTTAGGGTGTAGTTTGGGGTCGAGGTTCGGTTCCTGTTAGCGGGTTCCTGGACGGGTTCTGTAAAGGATCCTTGATCAGGGAACTATGACATGGAGGCTTTACTAATTAGAGTCGGTCTTGGGGTGTATTTTCGCGTACTTAAAACGAGGAACCCGAACACAAGAGTATTGCCAAGATCTCCGACCGGGAGAGATAGAGCTCGTGTTGATGTGCATGGAGGTTTCAAGGTTTTCGCTAGGAGGTCCACCCCGCACTTCGAAACCCTGAAACCCCAAACCCTGAACCCTAAGCCCAGTGTTTAAGTAGGATGCAGCTGAAAGCGTTGGCAGGCACGGCCTAGGGCTGAGGCTGAGAGTTTTGGGTTTACGGTTTTTTCGATAATCCTGACATCGTAGTTCTTCTAGAATCTACCATACACCCGGTAGAAGGGCCCCTAGAAGCGCTACTTCTGAGGAGCGCTGGTCGACCATGCTCCGCGTGTGTGCGAGAAGTGTGGGGCATGCACTCGTCTTCTCCAGGCTCTGCTGACATACCTGCGAGAAGTGGCCAAGCAATCCAAAGGAGATTTTTCTGAGTTTTCCTTGTTAGAATCTTACATGGATCTGACAGGGTGTTCTGAATGAAGTCTTCATCATTTAGCCCTCAAAAATCTTCTTGGATTCATAGAAAGCCCTGAACCCTGGGCAGTCGGAAAAGAGCCCTTACACAAAAGACAACTAGACCCTAAAAGTATGGGGGAAGCTAAGGCGGAACAGTCGGACGAGCCAACGAATCTTTCCAAGGAGTTTGCTCTAGAGGCCGTGAGGTGGCCGGCCCGTCACTACACGGAGCTGCCAGAATCCCATAAGCTTGACGTGGACATCGCCGTGGAAGCCGTGAAGCATTGCTGGGGCCTTTTTCCAGATCATCTGCCTGGAAATGTGAGGTGGAATTTCGAGGCTCAACCCCCTCAGCTCTGACCCCCAAACCCTTACCATCTTAACCCTAAAACCCTAAACCCCTAAACCCTACAACCCAAGCCCTAAAAGCCCTCATGCCGGAGAGCCCTAAACTCTCTGGCCCGTTCCAGGTTATGGTCACAGCCGTCCAGAGGAATGAGTTCTTGATGTACCGCTTGCTTGCCACTGACAGGAGACACAACCGCTTTTAACATGGGGGGCCCTTAATCATTGCAAGCTTGGGGGTTTAGGGTCTGGGGTTTAGGGTGTAAGCTTTGGCGTTGTGTTTTGGTATGCTCTTTTGGGACTATGACTATCCATACGAGAATACTATTCCGATGTATTCCGACTATGTCAGAATAGGCTCTCAGTGGGTTCTTTGCCTGGGTTTTGTCGGGCTTAGGAATTAGGTTTCAGGGTAAATGGCTTTGGATTCAGGATTCAGGGCCTGGGGTCCGTAGTTCAGGGTCTAGGGTCCTTTGATTGTTGTTTTGGGTTTAAGGCCTTTCGGGTCTAGAACACTTTACACCCTGAACCTTGTACCCTCTGCCCTACACCCAGAACGCCGTAATAAATACAGGGAATAAGTTCGATTAGAGCCCTCCTACGGTCCCTACTACAAGTAAAGCATACTACTGTTGATGATATAAATCCTGCATTACCCAAAATAAGGAATACACCATAATTCCCATAGTTTAGGGTCCTCAAGGTAATGCAGGATTTATATCATCAACAGTATTCCCTTTGCCTCTGAGATCCAGGAAACCCTAAACCCTAAGCTTTTGTACAAGAGATAATGTTGAACTCTGAGAAGCAATCCGAAAGCTTAATGGCTGTCCCCCCAAAGTGCCCAAACCTAAGCCAACACACCCTGACCGCTTCACACGAAGCCACGAAGCCCCTAGACTCCTACAGACTCAACTCTTAACCCAAAGCCTCCAAATCCGAATTGGTAAACCATCAACTTCCCAACCCGCACCTAAACCCTAAACCGTAAACCCTAAACCCATACCCAGGACGAGGGTCTCCCGCGAGCTGGAGAGACGAGCCTGACTTCTGACTGGGGCCCCGCATGCAGGTAGTGGGCTGCAGTGTACATGGAATAGGGCTGATGGACAAAACCCTGCATTGCGGTACAGTGAGGACCTTCAAAGACCATCCTTATTACCTTATCATGGCATTGGGGACCTAATTCCAGAATCGTAATTTATATCCCCTTGGTTTCCTATCATGGGTTGTGCAGGTCCCTAAAACCTTAACCCCCAAACTCTGAACACTAAACCCTGAACCCTAAAGCCCTAAAAACCTAATCCCTGAACCCTGAAGCCCCTGAATGGATAGTGCAGGATTGTCCATCAGTGGTAGGATTCCCAGAGATGGCTCTCGTTCCGAAGTTTCTGTCCCTGCCTCTCGGCCTCGAAAGTAATGTGGCGGCGGGTGGCCTTATATGATAGTTTGAAAGGGGTAGGGGTTTAGGGATTTAGGGTTTAGGGTCTAGGGTTTTGGTGTATACTATAGTAGTATCGATATGATGAGGAACCCGCAGGAATACTATGAGTAATTATTCAGGCTCCTGTTACATGAAGCTGTCGGAAGCACGGTACACAGCTTGTCCGACCAGAGTGTGGGAATAGTGGAAATGTACAAATTATAAGTAGAACATCGATCCACCCGAAACCCACAAGCCTAACCCCCCCTGAAGCCGAAATCCTGAACCATAGAGGGATCTGCCTTCTACATCCGAAGTTACCTTCGAGGCCTCGGGAGGGGTATTTTAGTCGTGTACAGACGGCGAGAAATGTCGCAATGACACAGCGCGAGCTTCTGCCGAACCCGAGGATCCTTCTGGACCGAAAGAACTCTACACCGCGGAGTGGATTTTATCGACTAGATAAGCTTGGTCTTTGAGGGGCTTGTCATGAGTGCTATAATGATATGGGGGGGTTTCCGAAAATAGGGACTCTAATTAATATAGTACCCCAAATAGTAGGATCCTTATCATAAGGACCCCAACTTAAGGTGCCCTTATTATGGGAAACTCCCATATAGGGACTATCAGGGGATAATATTGCTGATTATTCCGACCCCTATACTCTGCAATTGGCACTTGAACCACGGTCCAGCGGGGATTCTATGGAACGAGGTTGATCTTAGCAGTTTTTGTCGTTTTGTTGAAGGTTTTTGTTGGGGGTGAGTGTTTACATCTTTCATCCAGGCCCTAAACCCTAAACCCTAGGGCCCTAAACCCTAAACCCTAGGGCCCTAGGCCCTAAACCCTAAACCCTAGGGCCCTAGGCCCTAAACCCTAAACCCTGGGGCCCCAGGCGATGTCAGACTTCCCAGACCACCTTCGACCCCGATCCTGTGACTTCTTGGGGCTTCTTGTGTTTTACCTAAAGTCTCCATTGCAGTTCCTTTTTGGTTTAGCCAATTCTATATTAAGGATCCCAAAAGGTAACCCCAAAAAGGAACTACAATGGAGACTATAGGTATTTCGTGCCAAGGACATACTGCGCGGGCCAGCTTTGGGCTCGCCACAGCCGGGAAGGCCTTTGAAGAGCAACTGTCTAGGCTTGGGTTATGACAGCTTTGAACACGTGTGCGGCACCATGCAGATCTTGAGTCCTCTGCATCTCCGAAGCAGTTTTTGGTTGCCATGAGGGGTTGCCATTCGGTTGATGATATACATCCTGCATAACCCATACTGAGGAATATACCGTAATTGCCATAGTTTAGGGTCCTCAAGGTCATGCAGGATTTATATCATCAACAGTTAGGTGTGGGTGCAGCTCACTGTCTCGGCACGCTTGCGGTGTGCCGCTGTGCGCAGGATGTTTGCTGAGAGAAGACAAGGCCAAGGCCCAGAAGCAATGGCCACGTCTTGGCAGGACATCTTGGCCTCTAACTTTAATCAGATGTTGAAATCGTCGGATCATCTTGCAATGCTGCGTAGCTTGCAACAGTAGAGGACATGTTGAACGCGGGCGGTATAAAGACAATGAGTTGTGACCTCAGTACTACACATCGGATAGCGGGAGGCCATGGCGAACAAGCAAAGCTCATGGATCAACATCGGTGTGGTGACTGCACTTGTGTTCAGCACACTATTCTCTGCGATCAACCAACCATTTGAGAAAATAGTCGCAGATGACATGTGGGAGGAACACGTGACGGCATGGACACGGTCTTACTGTGCGTGCGCTACATCAGCACTCCTAAACCTAAACCTTAAACCCTAAATCTCAAACCCTAAACCTTAAACCCTAAACCTTAAACCCTAAATCCAGATTAGTCGCCAATCGGTCCTGAAGGAGGCCCGCAGCGAAGTTTCAAAAAGTTGTGGCCGTCGCATGGCCCCCAGAAGGCTTGCTGCAAGGGGCTCCCAAGGGGCTGCTGCAGCGGATACTGTGAGGGTTCCTATCATCAGGGGCCCTCACGGGTTGCTGTAAGGATTCCTTTAAGGGCCCCTTTAAGGGTTCTTTTGCGAGTTCTTTTTTTGAAAAGAGCTTTTCCTAGAAGAAGCTGTTTTTTCACGGCTTCTATAAGGGTAGCTATAAGGCCAGAAGCTGCGAAGACCGACATGTTTTGTGCATCTCTACCCTTGTCTAATATAGAAGCCTAGATGATAAACAATATTGCTGCTTAGGTGTCATTGTTGTAATTATACCATGAAGGACCCCCAAAACCCTGTTCTAATTATTCAAACCACACATTAAAGCCGCCCCTTATCACGTAAAGCCTAACCAACTGCATCCGGAACCCAGCTCGGCTGCGCTGGTCGGGCCGGTGGTGTTTCTTGGTTTAGGCTTAGTTTCGGGTTGGGGGTTTAGGCGAAAGGTGAAGGCTTTGGTCGGTTACTCTAATAAGGGTGCTATGATAGGCTAGGTTTGCTAGAAGTCTGGGGTGCGGACTAACATCAAGCGCCTAAACTCTAAGCCCTGCCCTTGCCATCTTGGAGCTGCATACGCCCAGCATAGACCCGGGCACCCTAAACGGCAAGCCGTTGAACCCGACACCCGAGCCTGACTTGCCCTAAATCACCTGCGAGGTCTCTGAGATCTTCACGTACTCGGTCTTGGGAGAGGGCAGAGCTTGTACTGCCTGAGCTTCCAGGACGGGGACAGACTGTGAAGGGCTTCGGGTTCCAGTTTCGGAACTGACCGTTTAGCAGTCTTGTCTCCTGTTGGTAGTTTTTGTCCAGAATTCGCACCTTAACCCTAATGTACGTGTGAAGGCTCCTAGATTCAGATTGAAGTGGTTGGGCGGGTCTGCAATTGTGGACTACAGATTTGAGCTCTGTCCTGTGCTTAAGGTTTAGGTTTAAGCTGCCTTCAAAAGAAGAGAGAGGAAGTAGTGGCCCGAACTCGGCAAACCAAGCGCTTCGCGAAAGCAGTGCTGCAGAATCCCCAGGACTATGAGCGGTGAAGCATAATCCTCACCCGAAGCCTATACCCTGCTCACCAAACATGCCGCAGAACACCTACTTGGAGGTTCATGGATAGTTATAAGTGGGGTTATAAGTAAGGGTACCTATAGTTATAACCCATATTAGGGAACTTATAACCACACTTATAACTACCCATGAACCTCCAAGTAGACAGAGCTCGAACAGTGCCAACCCCAGGCCTGCACAGTCAATTCCTGAGAAACCTCACCCCAAACCTGTTTTCCCTCAAACCCTAAACTCCTTAGTAGATGTATTACAACACTTTAAACTTGTTGGGATAAGCTGATCCCTTATAGAACTGAAAGTGTACGCTTTTTTATGCTAAACCCAAAACCCGCAGGTCCAAGAAGGGAGATGCTTCGCAGACCCTCTCACCCGGAACCCTGCTCAGTCTAAACTCCCATCCCAGATGACATGAAGCAAAAGAGCCCTAAATTATTATCCTTAATAATTAGAATAGGGTTTTGGGCTTCTTCTTAGTACAACTACAATAAGGAACCCGGAGGAATAGTATTGACAATTATTGAGGCTTCTATATTGCCAAGACTATTTGAGGGGGTTCCATAAACCCTGGTCTGCTTCTTTAGGCCCCCCATATTGGGTAGTTCTCTAAATCCCTTTTTAGGTTTCCAATATACTACGGCACCCTTATAAAAAGGAGCCTAAAAGGGACCCTAATTTAGATAACTACCCATATTAAGTGCGGTTTGGGGTTCAGGGATTCCCGCCAAATCGTTTGAACTACAAGCCTGGCGGGTCCTTGCGTTTGGGATTTAGGAGCTACTCTGGGCTGAGGATCTAATTTCTCGGACCAACCGGTTAAGTTTTTGGAGTTCGGGTTTAGGGTTTAGGGTTTTCGTGTTTACGGTTCAGGGTTTTGGTGTCTAGAGTTTATGTAGGGTTTTAGGTTTTCCGCTGACAGGTGCGGAGCACGGACCAGGCACATGGCGCGCAACCAGCCGACCGAGATGTCTTCAACGCCGTGAGGAGCCTGCACCCTCACGTAGTGTAGGGCCCTCCTGGAAGCAAGGATCAAAGATATCCTTAGCTTCCTTTGAACCCCAAGCCCTAAACCCCTATTGCCCGACGCCCGAAGCCCAATAAACCCTGAACCCCTACCAGAAAACTCTCAAAACCTTCAACCCAAACAAGCAACGTTCGTTTTTTCGAGAGAGTGCAGGAGACTGTGACATGCATTCCGCTCTGCTCTGAAAGAGTCGGCACCATGTTCGTTGTGTGCGTTTTGTTGGCATGAACCCTGAGGACTAGCTTCTACTCCCCTTATGGTATCTAGAAAGAACACAAAGATGGTAAGTATATGATGCCCCCTTATGGTTTCTATAGCTACCCATAGGCTCCTAAGTAGTTCCTTTTTTGGATTGTCTTTTCGGATTCTAAATATAAACCGCAAAAAGGAACTACTTAGGGGCCTACGGGCAAGCAATAGATATCATGATAAGTTACCATACGGTTGATGATATAAGTCCTGCATTACCCATAATAAGGAATATCCCATGCCTCCCATAGTTTAGGGTCCTTAAGGTAGTGCAGGATTAGTATCATCAACAGTATGTCTCTGCACCCTATGAAGCGGTCCGGGAGTCTC